AAGCACATCCAGCTGATGCTGATGATATATCAAGCTCATGCTGATGATGCTCACTAAATCCCAATCACTGGGTCGAGCCTCTATGGTTGCGATGGGTTCAGCGGCGGAGTGGCAGTCTGGCTGGATGGAGGATGCTGCATGGAGGCTGTGTGACTGGATGGAGGGAGAGTAACTGGATGGAGGCTGTGTGGTTGCAGTAAATCGGACAGGGAGCTTGAAAGGAAATTCAACTGATGCTGATGATGCTGGCGCTGCAGTTCGCTAAATGCATCCAGTCACTGGGTCGAACTGTTACAGCTGTCTGTGATTTCAATCAACTCAACGACCAAAGACTCTTGAGTCACGACAACCCCCGGAGTAAAAGGTGTGTTGCTGCCGATCTGTGACATAAGCCACGCACGAAATTTAAAATCAAGTCATCCGGCTCCGCGTGGACCACCCCGACGAACACAAAAAAAAGCAAAACAAGCATAACAGGGATGGCTAAAGTCAGAGTGCAGTCGTCGTTGTGTAGCCCCAAACCCAGAATCCAAAGTTCTCGACATCCAGACTGTCGTCGTCGGACCTGGCGGTCTGAAGTCTGAGGGTCCCACAGGGCGGGGAGGGGGGGGGGGGGTTCCAGCAGCTCAAGCACGGGGCTGCGCGCTCACGGCGATGGGTAACCTCATCATTCCTCTAGGCTTATGTTTAATGATTGTTTCTTCATCCATCCCACCAGAACGAGCCGCATTGTGTGGTAGTTTGTTGGCCGGCCTTGTCTGCGCGTCCAAGTCGTGAAGAGCCAGCTGTCAAGGCCCAGTCTGGAGATTCGTGCTCCTAAATGTTGTCCGGTGAATGCTCTGCATGTTTTGCTAATCTTGAGGGATGCTAGCTCGACACCAATTTCAATTGCTTGTCAGACCATTCAGGCGCCGTTCTTGTGCCTTGCAAGCACCTCTGGACCAACAACCGGACACTTCAGGTCCGGAGGTAGTAAGAAAATGATGCCAGGCTAAGTGTTTTTTCTATCTCGGGCGCGTTTTTGCCATGTCGGCAGGCGATCCATGGCGATCCCTCGTAGTATACACACCACCGTGCCGTGCTTCGGATTCAGTTGGTCCGGCCTCAGCTCAGAGGATGCACGAATGAAAGTGTTAAAGTCTGTGTGCTTCTCCGCAGATTTTGTGTGGCTCAGACTCCCTAGGGGAAAACGGGAAGACGAGGCCGCCCCCAACGAAGATATGTCTGGACTTCCACCAGGCACCTGAGTCGGGGTTCTGTTTTTGACGAGTCCTAGTCTAGTACTAACTAAGACCAAGCTGCAGCCTGCGTCAGTCTGCAGTCTGGCGCATGAGTCAGAGACCAAGCCTAGTGCAGGATGGGCTGAGCACGTTGACCCCAATTTCGGCAATCCGCAGCATGGCTGCAAAAGCTTAGTTGGCTGGTGCTGTACGGCAGCTTCGCACCTGAACCAGGTACTTCTTGTTAGTGTGACCGGCGAGGCTCTGATGCAGAGAGAGCCGTCAACCCGTACAATTTCCACTCATCTCTGTGCGCTGATCCCATGGCTCAGACACCGCGCATTGGCGCCCTTTCTAGCTTCGGGGAGGTCACCTCCACTGCGCTCGGCGCTGATGGTGCCGCTACGCTGCCGGCGCAGGATATCCACAGAACTGAGGGCTTCGAGTGAGCATTCAGGGGTCATCCGCATGTGGAAGACGCTTGCAAGAAAGATAGGGTGTGCGACGGGATGCTGAGCTGAATTGGTGCTTCGCAATCCAAGTCTCGAGAGCACGTAGACTTGATTGAGACTTGATTGAGTGCTTTGCGGCGATCCGATGCAGCAGCAACCGGATCGGTAGTGTGTCTCAACTCTGACTTGATGCAGGCTCAGCAGAGCGTGGGCCTTAGCAGCACGGCTGTGCGGGAATGCAGAAAGTTTCTTCCAACCGCAAATGGTGCAAGGCATTGGTGGAATGGGCCAGATGCATGGAATGCGTCAGCCAATCGGCCAGATGGGCGAAATGGGCATGGGGCAGATGCAACAGCCAAGGGGTGGTTGCATGGGACAGATGGAGATGGGAGGGATGGGTGGAGGCTGTATGGGCATGGATGGCATGGCTGGCCAGATGTGCATGGGAGGAATGGGTGGCATGGGTGCAATGGGCATCGACATGGGTCGCGGCATGGATGGCGGCCTGCAGACCGGCATCGTCGAGCCGAACCCAAGCTTGTTTTGAGACTCCAAGTATGTTTTGGACGAATTTCGCAGTATGAAGTAGTTATGGTAGGTTCTTTTGCTCCGCCACGAAGGAGCCCGTTTAAGGAACCCTACTTTGCGCTCGAACCTCAGGGTCCGGCCGGACTGTTCGGCTCCTTCGCTGGATGGGCATGACGAGGCCAAGAAATCACCCACTGCGTACCATTTAGGTAAAAGGCGCAAAGTTTAGGGGCGCTAATGCTAAAGATCTGATAATTTCGAGTTCTAACTCCCGAATCACTCACTGCATGCCATTGAGGGTTTCCCTCAGGGTTTCATGACGGCTCTCTGGGTTTACTACTCGCGTTTGCATGGTCCATGTACCTACATAGTACATACTGAAGGGGAACTGGGAAAAAAACGCCCACCTTTTCGTCGTTATTTTTCAAGACATGCATATTCGATCAGGTCTTTGTGCATATGTGTAACGTAGTAACCCCAGACCCTAACATCAGAAGTCTACACAATATATCTCCCGTCTTGCGAAGGCTGCAGCTGGCCGCCTCTTGGACTGAGTGGATCTTCGGACTTGGTGCTTTAGGATTTAGGCTTGAGGCTTAGGGGTTCAAGGTGTTTTAGGATCTTATCGGGCTCAAAAAAGGTTTCGATGTTTGGTTCAGCGTTTTGCGCGGCGATTTAGAGGCTGTGTGCTCAGAGGGTTCGTGACCTTTCGGGTGTGCGCAGGGTTTAGGGTTTAGGAGTCAGTCCTGCTATTTTCGGTCGGACGCCTTGTTTTCTGAGCAAGGAGAGTTTATAAGACGGATTATGGGATTGCTAGATGAGATGTAGCAGCACCGAGGCGACCCAGCGCATGAAGTGGGTGACGAAATTCCACCGCGCTCGAGGACAGATGGTTTGGTGGGTCCATCTTCGAAAAGCTTTTCGAGCTTGCCGATACCCTATAATGTTCGGGTCGCAGTAAATAACCCACCCGCCCCCCCCCCCCCCCCCC